GATCACATTGCTCCATGATATTTAAACCAGCTCCATTCTCTTCAGATGTTCAGGTAATGTTTTTTGTAATGATTGCATAAGAAATATATTAAAAAAACACAAAAGAGCAAAAGTTGTTTTGGCAATGCTATGTCATCACAGTTTTCTCTGTCATTCTTGAGGAGATTATGTTATCCAAACTTAATTAATTATGTGTTTTATTGCTGTGTGTCAGTGGGGACTCACTGTTTTGATCTTCACATTTACATGAGTAAATAACAAAGATTCCAGTGACAACTACCCTCTTAAGTCTGACTTTCCAGTCAGTTTTTACCCATTAAGTTGCTTTCTCACCCATATATATCATTGTAACTTGGATACAAGAATAGCGGGAAGCAGTGTCGAAAGCCTTGCCAAAGTCAAGGTAAATGACATCCACTGCTCTCCCCTCATCCACAAATCCAGTCATTTTGCTTTACTCTTGGTGAATCCATGCTGACTGTTCCCAAACACCATCTTCTTCACGTGCACAGAAACAGTTCAAAAAGGTTGAGGTATGAAAAATCCACTAGCTGCAGTTTTCTTGAGAGAGAATTTTTCATAGTGATTTTGCAAACTACTTTGAAATAATAGTATGCTTATGATATGTATAAAAACAGCAGAAACTCAAATCATATTCATAGTGCTAAGAACCTTTCTGTGAACAGTTGTTTTATAACTTACAGTTATTACAGTTTGATTAGTGAATTGCAAACAAATTAATTTGGGAAAGGTTCTTCCTTTTTATCCCTAATGAACATGAAATTAAAAAAAATGTTCTTTAATGCCTAGTGGTTCATATTTGTTAGTAAGTGCTCGTTCATTTTGTTCCATGTGGGACAGTGCTTATAACAGATTGGACCACTAGATGGTGCAATGTGTTTATTATTCTTATGTTGTGTGATCAGCTATTCTAGCAGAACTTTTTCCTGAAGATATGCATAGCTGTTGAAAGAACATGAAAGGTATTTTTTTATGAGGAGCTTCTTAACTGAAAATGGATAGTTATGATTTAATTAGATTGTGCAGGTCTTGCAGTAGAAGTCAAAATATCTCAAAAATTTATTAACGTTAATATTATTCATTTGCTGAAAATAATCTCCTGTATTTCAACATTTCACTCTGAAAAAACAGGATTCATTGTAAGATAAATCATGTGTATTACAAGAAAAATGAACATTTTACCTGTTCAGAGTTTTTAGATGTTGATAAATGATCTCATTTGCCCAACCTGAAGTCTGTTTGAAGGTCTACTGAAAGTAAATTGACTTGGTACAGTTCCTAGTGGAAGCAGTTTAACGCAAAGAGAACTTAATCAGATGTATAACTTACTGAAATCCATGGGCCTAGTTCTGCAGAGAAGAAATCAAAATTAGTTTTCGTGTTTGATCTGACTGGGCACTGATCCAGGAACGTAGACTCACATTCTTACTTGCTTAATGATAATGGTAGGATATGATAAAGAAGCTTTGTGGAATTCAAAACCTATTGATTTCAACAGGAACTAAGGACATCACTTGTTTAAAAAATATTGCTAGATACATAACTGCCTTTTTGTTGTCTGCTTTTTATCCTCAAGTGATTTGCTGAATCAGAATCTGATGTCAGCTTTAGAAGAATACCATTATAAAAATCAAATAGGGGCTCTGAATGGCTTTAAATCTGTAGCATGACCTATAAGGTCTATGATTTGGGATATGTTTGATCTATGTTGACAGGATAATGGAGAAACATCGGCTTTCATTGCCACTGTAGTATACCTGTTTTCTGGCAAAAGCAGTTAATCCATTTTTCTAGTGCAGTTAGACTATTAATTGTTATAATTAAAATTTTACTGAGATCATTTTCAAAAAATTAATGTAGTCTACATTAGGCAAAAGTTGGAAATGATATATAACAATTAATTATGTTTTCGTTTTCTTTAAAGGTTTCATGGTACAGTATTTTGGGCTGTGTAGCAGCAGGAAGTAATATGAAAGTAAGGTTAAATAACAATAAACTTCCAAATGCAGGAGAAGAGGTAAGACAGGGATAAAACTGATACAGATCGTTTTCTCTTCCTAAGAGACTCTGTTAAGTGGATACACCTGATGTCTTCCCCATCTTTTTTTAGTCAAGTAACTGGCCAAGCCTTTGACAAACCTTTTGATCTTTACTTCAAGTATTTGAAATCCATGCTATATTCTGGGAGACTTTTTTGCATAATGAGTTGAATGCTTTAAAGGCTTCATGTCAGAGAAGACTCTGTCCCTTTTGTTACAACTCTATTTTTCGGAGAGGTATCTAAAACATGCAAAGTCAAAGGGAAGTATGTGATGTATTTACAGGGTGTGGCCCAGTCACTATGCTCTTTCCAGGATTCAGAAAAAGAGAAATTCTGAGAAGATTTAAGATTGTAATGTTTGTATTAAAGTAATTATGTAACTCTTGTCAACTATTTCTTCTTAAGAAGACCTTGCTTACCTCATTCTGGCAACATGATAATATCACTCCTTCAGTAGTCTTCATGTTCAGATATGACTGAAAGTCTCGTCATTCTCCTCCCCTTTCATGTGGTATGAATGGGCAAAGCATCATGCCACACATCTTTGATTCCTCACGCCTGATCATGTGGCTATGTTGGCACTCTATTTTTATAGTCACCCTAGCCTCTTCTATTTTGTTTCGTCATTACGACTTCACATTTTCATTGTCTTTGATGATTGAGAGAAAATCTTCCTTTTCATACCTCTTCCCTCCAACTCCCCCCAAAAAAGGAAGATATGTCAAAAGAAAAGATGTGTATAGCTACTGGTAGTGGGGGCTTTGATGTTTTTCTTAGTATTCTCATTATCAAATTTGGGGAATCAAGGTTCCTGTGATGTTTAGTTAGGTATTTCAGTTTACTGTCCTGCTCCAAATGAGCTTGTGTTTCGCTGGCGACTTCCACCCCTGCTAGCTCTTCTCTCTGTGATCTTGCTGCAATCCATCCAAGCCACAGACTGTCTTAGCTCTGGCAGACACTACAGAGGCACAGACCTCAGCTTAACCATATGTCTCAGCAAAGGAACTTCCGATTGCTTTAGAATATGCTTTTGAAAACCCTGATCTGCAGACTAAGTCACCATCTGTCTGCTCCATGGAAAAAGCTTGGAATTCTTAGGGGGGGAGCAATCAATCAAAGTATCAGCATGAGAAAAGCTTGCTCTAAAGGGATGCTATGGACTGTGTTATGCTAGTTTCTGGTTTGCTGGTTCAGGCTTCAGCCCCAGCAATTGAAAGGATTTCTGTTGTTCAGAGGGCTCCTTATGAGGGCCAGGCAGATAATATTTGCATGAGAGCTCTGGATGCTGTCCATCCCACCTGGGTTGATGCTACAGTAAGATGATCTCACTTCTGATGTTGTGCCTCAGTCATTGTGTCAATTGTATGTTGTTTCAAGACCCTAAAATCTTCCATTGTTTAAGTTGTCCTGGTTATGGAAGGGCAAGCAGGAAAATCTGTTAGGAGTGAGCCATGATGTTAAAGTACAGGTGGACAAGTCCTTGAAGAAATGAAAAGACTATCTTCAGACTATATTGTCTATATACATATTGACAAAATGCTCGTTTCCTCTTCTGTACCAAAGTTGAGATGTGATGTTGAGAGAACTTGAGACATCCTCTATCTATATCTAATACGTGCATGTAGCGTATATGAAGGAGAGCCACATGCTCTTTCTCTGGAAGCATAGGTCAGGGCTAGAATGTCTCCAGTTTGATGACTGCAAGCATGCGTATCCACAGGAGGTAGGTGCTTATGGAAAAATGCAAAAAATGTCTTGGAGAAGCACCAGGTACTGATACTTAACTTTTCTCTTAGGTTAGGTTTTCTCTTAGGTTCTCTGTATACTCAACTGCTTTTCAGAGAGTACTTTTCAGGTACTTTTTTTCCTGTCATTTCATTCATTGTTCTCTGAGTTTTTTCAGCCCTCAAAGCAACATAATATTACTTGGAAACATATCTATTGGTCTACGTTGTGCTTTGATCCAAAACCGTTAAATGATTTGTTTGACAGTAAAAGTTTACAGTTTAAGATTTGTTTTTTTTTCATGTATACCATGCATATAACTAGAAAGTATTTTTATTGATAGATACCAGCTGATGGGAAAAGCCTCTTGGAAATACAGGGCTTAGATCCCAATGAAAAGTACATATTTGCAGTTGCAGCATATTCTTCTGATGGAAAACTTATTGGTGATGCTATTGGGGAAATGACTAAACCGATCCTTGCTTATCCACCTCTTTCTGCTACTACTGTTCGAGCCTATCTAACTCAGGTAAGGTTAGAGTCTTAGGTAATAAATACATGCTTTAATTTGTTTGTATTTACTTCTTCTCCCTGGTAGCTCTAAAACCTTTCTACTCAAAATGCAAGATTTTCTTGCCAAGAAGCTTGATTAGCACAGATCACAGTTTTATCACAAATGAAGTATTTGAGTACCTCAAATAATTCTTAGTTCAAAATGATTAGAAATTCCAGGCAGCAAGGAAGATGTCTCTGGGCTAACTTTCTTATCCCCAATTTGATTGTCCTTTTTGTCAGTTTGCATTTAACTTCTTTCTAGTTTCTTCCTTTTTATCATTTATCTTTTCACTTTTGTGGTGGAGACCACAAGCTAGAAATCATCTTATTAGTTACTTGAGTATGGGATGAAAAATGTGACTGAACTTTTAGGTGCCAAATCCAACCATTTTCTATTGAAATTATTTTTGTAGTGCATTGTAGAAGGCCACAAAGGCTTATAATAATTTTCTGTATTCTCAACAAAGAAAATTTAAAATAAATTGTGGCATGGAGAAAAAGTGAAATCTTCTAGCCCCATAGATCATGGGAAACTGTTAGAAGATTTCCTAAAATTTTCCAGAGTAAGAATTATCCACGTGAGCACACTACTTGTGTGGCTCCATTTACATCCCATGATCCAGATTATCTGGTATTCTGCAGTACTAACAAAGATAAAATGGACCTAGATGAAATAATACGTCTTCAAAACTGTGACATGATACCTTGTAAGAATTCCATAAAGAACTGTTAAATCCTTGGTTAATAGTCAAGAATCTCTTCTGCATTCTCTGATGCTAATTCTGAAAGCAAACTAGTTTTAGCAGAATCAGATTGCTATTACATTTATTTTATTCAAATATGTCTCAGAATATTCTTACAGAAATTGTAAACTTATGTGTTGTGGGGGGGAGTTTTAAAACCATCTTACTGTAATCATAACTGGCTTGGTTATTTGAAGAACATGGAAATTTGTTAAATTTATTTTAAATAGCAATTAGTAAACATTATAAAATGAAATGTAATCATTTTTCTCTAAAAAAAGTTGCATAATTAAAATATGGGTTTTTTGTAGGTAGCATATCGGACTGGCAATTATACATTAGCTAGAGAAGCATTTACACCACTGTGGGATTATTTTGTTTCAAATTCTTCTCCACCTCCTGCCAACACAGCTGTTATTTCTGCAAGCAGTAATTTCACTATATCTGAAAACAGGTAACTGGCAAAAATAAAATTAAAATAATAATTAATTATAGAGGTGCACATTTTATGTTAAAGAGTACCAGGTTGTGAAATGTTGTTCACACTAGTGATATGAAAGGCATTCTAAAAAAAAAAAGTGTTAAATGTGTCACAAAAATACAGAGTTATAATGTTAGCAGAGTAGTTTTTATTATTTATGTAACTGCTCGCGTTTACACATCTAATTCTTTATGATCATTTTCTTGGTTAAGATAATTGGAAAACATTTATAAAGTGGTCATTAATTCTGTGTGAATGCATTTGCATATGTGAAATGTGTAATATGCACTGGGTTCCTGAGTTTCAGTTCCAATTAAAGGAGTGGTAGGGCTCAGAAATTTTGACAGTTCTGTCAAGAACGCCACCGAAAATGTGTGGATGCTTGGTGATTTTGTTTTGGATTGGTTATACACATCTGTCGATAATCTTTAAATATACTAAAGCGTTTTAGGATAAGTCTTTTAAAATCAATTCATTTATAAATATGTTCCAAATGTTCAACTGTTATAAGGTTTTCATGATGACAAGGCCAAGCTAGAAATTTTGCAGGTAATGCCACTTAAATTCCATAGATCCAAATGCAAAAACAAATAATTCCCAGATAAAAAAGATTTGTATGAAATAATAAACTGTTAATAAAATAATACTGTTAATAAAAAGTGCACTTTTAAATATCAGTCAATTGCTTATATTTTGATAATAAATGAACATCTAAAGTAACTGAACACAGATCATCCTCTTTACTTGTGTGAAATTCTTTTTAGACTAATACTTTCACTAGGAAAGTTTTGGCAACATTGTAGTGAAGATGTGAAATAGTTTTGCAGCCCTTCAGTTCCAGTTTGACAGGCTGACTTATAGTCTTGAAAGTGTAATGATAAGAAGTAACCTTCTTGCTTGGGTTTTAATAATTCTGTGAAACATATAAGAAATAAAGATCTTTGTTTCAGGAAATATATGTATTGGGCTTTTTTCTTAACAGTTTGGCCATTATACTTCCGTTTCCTCTTTATGGATGGAATATCCAGTAATCAGCTATTCTGAGGCATATAAAGCAGATGGAGTTTTGCCTATATTGTATTTTGTTACCTCAGACTTTCATCAGAGCCTGTGCTTTTGTCATGGCCACACTGTTTGGATGCAAGCACACAGTGTAGGCTTAGGGGAGGTTTGGATTATGTTATGGGAGAAAGTAATATGCCTAAGTGTACTTCTTGTTATTTGAGGCTCAATCTGATCACCAAATATGTATCCTGTCTGCCCTTCAGGTGCTCCCATGTGATTGATACTAGGCATACAAGTTGGCTGTTGATCTTGATGGTACATGCTGTAAAACCTGTTGGGATTTACAGGCAGCATATAGATTGCCTTGATTCAGGCAGGTGATCACTGGGTATCCTATTTCATGGTGATGTGAGTGCTTTAATTTTGTCCCTGGCCTGGGCAACAAAATAGGAGTGCAAATCTGGTCATTGTGACTCTTTTTGGACTTGTTTTTCATTAATCTTGTTTCTCACCAGGTCTTATTTTTAAATGTGCAGAACTCTAGAGATAACATTCAAATGAAGCTACTTCCAAAAGAATCAAACCAAGACAGCAAATTTTGAGTGGATGTGGGATTTTGTTTTTCCAACACGTATATCCAGACCTTACTTCCTTTACAGTTAGCATGGAAGATTCTCAAGGCTTCAATATCAGACTTGAAAGCAGCCAGTTTCACTTTTACTGCCTGGTAGCTGAGAAATTAATTGGACTAGCTAGAAAGCACATAGGACTCACGGAGACAGTAGAGGGAGCTGGAAGGAAAGGAAAGCCTTTTTTTCAACAGGAAGCTCTGTTGATATCTTGGCAATGTCAGCTATGTGAATGTGTCTAATGATCTTCCTTCTTGAGTTTCAGTCTCTTAAGAAACAAAATTGAGGAGAAGCTAAGTTTACTTCTTATACTTCAGAATTATAAGATTGTTGCTGTAATAAATATGAAAAAAAGGACAAATGCCTCCTCCTGCCTGGAATGCAAAAAACAACAACAAGCAGGCAACTGAAAAAGATTCTTTTTAGACTTGTAATACCTGACATCAGTGATGAAAAGGAATCTGTTATTAATACTTAGAAATGTATGTGCATAATATATATGCACAACTGCATGTGTCATTGTTTATGTTATATATTACCATAATACAGGAAAATGATAAAGAACATGTGTAAAAGAAGACAGGTAAAAAAAATACCATGTATCATCCCACGTTTTCACAGAGGATTCAAAATAAGTGTCACTGGGTTAGATGAAACCACTGAAGGAAAAGGTGTCTTAGGTTAGTAAAAGGCGGATAGCAACTTGAAGTGGAGTCTTACCACATGTATTTATAGTTTTAAGTTAAAAATTTTAACCAGTTTGTTCAGTTTTCTGTATGAATCTCATTTCCAGCACTAGCTGTATTAATCCTTTTTGTCTATTATTTTACAATTAGAGATTGCATTTTTCATTTCAGGCATGAGATGACTGTATGATCGTTAACATGCTTTAGTCATTCTTTTGCTTTTTTGTTTTGTAGATTGTGTTTTGAGGCTGTATCTCAGACCTCTCCTATTGCCTTGCAACTCTTTTTGAGGAATATATTTGCTATTACTGACATTAACGTTATGGAAGGAGCACTCTTCTGTGATTCCATCTGTTCCAGTGAGATACAGTACGAGAAACAAGTATGTATAACTTAAAATAATATATTGCATTTGATTTTACTTTTTGATCAGCTTTATTTCAACATCCCAAGATAAATGTTGCCATGTATTAATCCTACTTGCAGTGTACTTCATTTTCTGTTAAGGTACTTGGTCTTCCTTTTAAAATATTTTATTATTTGCTTGTTACTTTGTATCTTGGTGGACAGCCAGTTTCTGGATCGGTCATTCCCTCTTTAATGTCCTAATCCAAAGCCCACTGATGCAACAGAAGGATTTTTCTTGACTTTAGCAGTCTTAGACTGTATTTTAAGACAAATAATCGTTGTCATTTTTGTTCTGCTTGGATGTAGATGGTATTTTTAAACCTCTCTACTATTTCATATGTACATTTTCATTAATATTGAACTTCTAATGGAGTTTTGTGGTCGTAATATGCTGAGCATCTTTTATTTCACACTTTCTTACAAATAATGACGTGCCAATAAGTTCATGGCACAAAAAGCTTTCTTTTTTGTTTGGATAGTCAAACTTTCACCCCTGTATTATTTCAATCTTTTTGGCTTAAGAACTTGTTTTATACAAATGTGAGTAGTCTTAATGATTACTCAGTGACTTCACTTGATCTGCTCACATTTGCAAGGACTGCAGCAGATAAACTGGAAGGGAAAGAAAGGTTTTGTAAATGGATAAACTCAGAGGACAGAACTATTTCAAAAGCAATGATTTCCTTTAGAATCATGAATTATGTTGCATTTGTTTATATACTTCTAACTGGTATCACTGTAAACTCATTTCTAAACTCATAGCTTATTTTTTGCTTACGCTACTTTTTAAATTGCAAGAACATCTTTCTTCTTTCACTCTAAAATGACTTTAAACAATAGAATTTATATTTGAATCAAAATGTTTATTCTTTTGCAGGTTGGTAGATTAGCAGAATGTGAAAGAATGACTGTGGCAATTGAACTTAGTAATTGGTTAAATGATGCAAATTATACCCTGCAGGCTGTTGTACAATGTTATGGTCTCCTTGCTCCAATTATTTATCACAAGATTTCTTCAGTGCCGGTAGTTCAGGTGAGAACATTTTAAGATAGAGCGGCTTGTGCGCAAGTCCTGTGATTATAGTGATTCAAATTAAACTTATAATGGAATGTACAGGAGGAGAGCCAAACATCTAAGCGAGCTGCTGAAAGAAAATCCTCTAATGTTTTTATGCATTCCCAGTGCGTATATGTTCAGCGTAAGCAGCATGGATTCTGCTCTCAGATATGCTAAAGTAAATCCAGAATATTGATTGTGTCTTCAGGATGATTCATTGGTATGTGCAACCTATAGTAGAATCTGGATGAATGTTGAATACAACTTTTAGTTGTATTCCATTTACAAATAGCAGTTTTGAGGGAAGAAAAGCAGCATGTTTTTTTTGGAATGTTTGTTTCATTTACAGTTCTCTTCTCCTCCAAAACAGGCGGCAGCCGTTCAATGTTTTGATAATGCAGTCTTCAGTTTTCAAGCATGAGTTCCTTTCCAGAAGCAAGCACCTTCTCTTTGAGAACTGAGAGTGCTGGAATCCTTTCCTGCCATTTCTGAAGCAGCATGCATGCTTTTTGTTTTCAGCAAGAATATAGGAGAAACATGGATGTGATCAGATAGCTTTGTCAAAGAACAGCAAGAGCATGGCTGTTCTGTGAGGAAGGATGATCTAGGGGGGTGACCACAGGGCAGGAATGAA